CAAGGACATTTAAATAAAGGGGACTATGCATGTCACAGTCTATCTCATATGTTGGGTGAAGCTAGACAAGGGGAAAGCAGAGGGCTTTATTTTCATCCAACTGATGCGCGCGATTACGTCTCCAATGTCGTACATTTTGGATGGGTCAAAATAAAATATTTTATAGTCCTAAGTCAATATATTTCAACAGCTACTCAGTATTTTTATAATAAATATATATAATATTTTTATAACTTCTTGGAATCCCAATAACTGTAACCATTTCTTTCTTGTTGCACCATCCCCAAGCATCCTAAAAACGTTCACATTTCACTTTTAGAATACTGAGGCAAATTTTCAGTGAGACATAAAAATATATTCCCAAAGGAGAACATCAATTGGTTGAATGAATGCAACTTTCAGTTGATTGCATCTTCGGTAACACAAGTAAATGAAGTGACTACAAACCGCTTGAAAAAATATAGGAGTAGTGCAAGGGTCGTTACGTTGTCGCATTACAACGTAGTCACATTAGATGTTAGGTACTAAATATTTCTATTGTTTTCTTCATCATTTTTTTTTCTAAAAAAACAACCTATATCTCAAAAACGAAGCATCTCCTAAATAATTTTAATACTATTGGTTAAACCCAAGGGAAGAGGAGACCAAAAGGCTTATTTGACTCACACGTACTCGAGACTTTGTAAGACCAATTTTAATAGGTACTATATTTTTTTAGGTTTTATGAGGAGGAGGAAATTATAAGAATTAGGAAAAAAAGTGAATGTACTGGCTGGTCAATTTTCGATGGGATTTCAGGGTATCTCAGAAACTACTAAAGATATGATAAATCTGACACCACGTTTTCGAGCTCGATTTTCATGGCCAACTCAACTGTCAAATCAGAAATTTGCTATCTTCATTTGTTTCTGAGTTACAGGGCGTTTCTCGTCATTGTGACACTTTTGAACATGTCTGTATCTCAGCTGTTAAATAAGTTAGAGTTAAAGTGAAAACTGCTCAAGACTAATTCTTTGGCGTAGAATTGAATGCCGGTATTAGATTTTTAGTAGNTGTATGTTGGCAAATCATTGACATAGAGCATGAACAGTAATGGACCTAGTACGGAACCCTGAGGTACTCCAAGTGCAACCGCATATATATCCGATTTTTCCTCGTTTATATTGACTACCAGAGACCTATTTTCCATGTATGAAGTCAGCCATGCAAGCATGCTACCTCTTATACCCAGACTGTATAATTTCTGGCTCAAGATCTCTTTATCGACAGTGTCAAACGCCCTGGAGAGATCAAACAGAAGTGAAACCACATACTTACCAGCATCCAAGCACTGATACACATATTTGAGAAGGTGACAAGATGCCGTCTCAACCGATTTATTAGACCTAAATCCATGCTGGGATGCAGTCAGCAGATTATTTTTTTCAACAAAGTTGATTATTCTGTTATATACTACTTTCTCATGTATTTTAGACAAAACACTCAGCAAAGAAATTTGTCGGTAATTCTCCATTTCTTTAGGATCACCTTTCTTTAATAGGGGTATAACAGTTGCCAATTTAAAACAGTTAGGAAATATTCCGGTTTTAATTGATTCATTTATGAGATAAACAAATGGCTGTAGAATATTGTTCTCTATATTTTTAATTAATTTAGCTGTTAAGCCGTCATAACCGCTTGAATTTTTATTTTTAAGTTGTGAAATAATGACAAGCACCTCCTCCACTGCAACGTCATAAAAAAAACACCCTGTTTCTCCCGTGTTTGTAAAAATAACTATAGCATGTGATATATTGCTGAAAAGCGGAAAAAAATCTCTATTTTTTTAGGCTATGGTTAGCTACGATTTCCATTTAAAAAAATAGAACTTTGGGTCATAACTCCGAAATCTTAAGATCTACTAAAAATCTAATACCGGCATTCAATTCTACGCCAAAGCATTAGTCTTGAGCAGTTTTCACTTTAACTCTATCTTGTTTAACAGCTGAGATACAGACATGTTCAAAAGTGTCACAATAACGAGAAACGCCCTGTAACTCAGAAACAAATAAAGACACCAAATTTCTGATTTGACAGTTGAGTTTGCCATGAAAATCGAGCTCGAAAACGTGGTGTCAGATTTATCATATCTTTAGTAGTTTCTGAGATACCCTGAAATCCCATCGAAAATGGACCAGCCGTACACTTTTTATCAATGACAAACTGTTCTATTTAAAAACAGCATCATTTTTTATTTTCAGTACTTAGGGCCGTATTAATTTTTTTTATAATTTAATGAGTCTGAGTCCCCATAATGCCTCCACTGGTTGCTTGCGGGACTTCTACTTCTATGGAAAAATGGTATCTTATAAGAAGATGTGTCATGCCAAATTTGGCTTAAATACCCTTCTACATTTAGAAGTTATTTAAAAAATTCGGATTTTTAAAAAAATCTTAACCCTTATATTTCGAAAATGAAACGTCTGGAAAAAAAATTATACTCGATTTTTTCTTATTTTTTTATGAAGAATATCTCCTTAAAGTGTGTCGACTTAATCCTGAAACACCCTATATATTTAAAGAAAACAACTATAATGTATGTAAAACGTAATCACTTCTTTAGTCGTGAAGAACAAACGATAACAAGAATGAAGAGGCTCCACATAATATTTTCAATTTTTTTAACTACTTATGCTGTGGGGCTATATTTATATGGTTGTCCAAAGCTGGAAAATAGCGACAGTTTGTCTTACACTATAGACTATGGAATAGATACGTATGTCATATTAATCGCAATAGCATGTTTCATTTTAACCTTCACCGTACATTTCCCGATAGTGTGGTTTTTCAGGTAACGCCGCTATACTAATCGTACTGCAAATTAAAGATAACATTTTAGGTATCCAAGAGAAAATGTCCTTGGCAAACGCCAAAAGGTTTTCAATAAATATTCAGTTGACACTAATTCCTTATGTTGGTAAGCCTTGGAAAGTTGTATTTAAATCCTGTATTTCGTTTCATATTTCACTTTAGGTTTCTCCTTATTACTAACATAATTATATCGATGACGATACTAATAATACTAGGATTTTGGGTGCCACACATGACCGGCTTGTTATGGTTAACTTCAGTCGCGATAAGTCTTTTAGTGTACATTTTCATTATGGAGAATTTAATGCGGGTGATTGTCAATTTCACGACAAATCAGAAAACAAGGGTAAGTAAATAATCTCAACGATCTTTTTTGCAGACTACTTTAATATTTCCATTTATTGTAGGTGCAGAAAATTTTTGAACAAATTAAATCGTGTTTTGGATACATAGAACAACAAAGAGTTATGTTGTACAATACGTTTGGATCAACTTTGCTTAGACCGTTTTTCGGTCATTTGTATAAACCACTAGACAAGCTTAAACTGAAAGTAAAGCTATGGTGCAATACCTTCATAGATTATAATTTATTATTATAGGGTGTCTCAGAAAAGAATTATCCATCCAGTAACGGTAGACATCTGGTATCAAAATAAGGCGATTTAGATAAACTTACCCAAAAATGATTGCTTTAAAAGACACAACGATTTAAACTAGTATTTTCGAAATCGTTTTTTCTTAATGGCTCCAATGATTTTTTAACGCCGTGTATTTTTTCAAGGAGGCATTGTTTTGTTTAGATACTTTTACCTAAATCATTTTATTTTGATACAAGGAGTCTACGCTGCTGAAATGGCCTTATTTTCTGGACCACCAAGTATGTTTACTCATAGGAACAAAGGCACTGGGCAGAAATAAAGGAAAGGCTCTGGGAAATAGTACAAGACCTGTTTATGATTACGATATACGTTTTGTTGCTGTATCTAGTAATAATGATGGATAGAGACGCAACGTCATACATAAGCCATATTGAAGTAGAAGATCTCATCAAGGGAACCCATTCCAGAACAATTTTGCTGGATGACGTTTATCACCGAAACGAGTAAATGTTATATTCAAATATTGTTATTCAAATACGATATTAATAATATATCATCATCTTTGTCTTGTATCAGTACTTAAAATATTATCTATTTGTGGCACTGTTTTAGTTTTTTTAGTGTTTATTTTTGTATTTTGCCAAAGGTTATTTTATGAAACTATGTTTGTGCAGCCTGTGAATATTTAGAATAAAGTTGAAAAATATTACATAAAAAAATGGAAATTTGGGATGGAAAGAAAACAGTCATATAATTCAAATTCGAACTGTTCTAGTTTTGAGGATAATTTTTGTAACAGGTGGCAAAATATCCAAATAAACAAAGAAAAAGTACCAACTTGCCTCTGTTCTATCCGTTAATTTCCATTTTCGTTTTCCAGGATAGAAAATTATATAGAAGAAACTCTTATTACCTCCATGCATTCGCTTCAGTGGTACGGAAAGTATGTGTCAAAGAACCCGGGCACGACCATAGATAAGACGAATAAATATTTGGGAATAGCGCGGTTGAGGCAACACAGAGCTTCTAGTTTACACTGTGATGAAGATTTCATCAACCAAACGTCATGTTATCCAACATATTATGGGTATCCTGAATACCGAAATTTCAGCGAAAACTGGCTAGAAGTTGAATTGTCCAACCAATTTTCTAGAATGGATCATATATGGAAATACGTCAGCGAAAGTGTAGCTGGAACTGTAAATTACTTCGGTAAATATTCGTTTGGTTTTTATAAGAGATGAACATGTACATAGAGAGTGTTACAAAAAAATAGGTCAAGCCGTTATAATAATATGCAGATTCTTTGAGTGGAAATAATGGAACAAAATGGATTTTAGTTTCCTTTTAAAAAGTTCAGCAGTACAGGTCTTTACATCATTAGGTAATTTATTAAATACCTTAAGACCCAGACAGTTTGGTGATTTCATGGTGAGCTGCAGTCTCATAAATGGTATATTGTATTCATTTTGTCGTGTATTAATTTCATGAATTTCCATGTTGGAATAAAATTTAGATTTATTGTTAAATACATTATTACGCAAAGCAAACATGAAAACATCTCTACATGAATGTGAACTGGAAACATTAAAAATACATCTTAGTACCTTTTTTTTTGACATACAAACACATCAGAAGACATAACAGACCCATCCCAGAAACAGACACCATAATTTATTCTACTGCCAACCTTCGCATGATACAGATTTATAAGTTGCTTAAATAACAGATTGAATTGAGTTTTGAACAAAGATTTGAACAATGAGGCTTCCAGGACAAATTACTGTCAAATTCAATTCCCAGAAATTTAACCTATATCTCATTATTAAAAGAAATGTCATTTATATTTAGGTTTAATTTAATAGTTGCACGTAGACGATTATGAAATATGAGACCGCATGAGTCTTTGTCACATTAAAGTAAAGATTATTTTGACAGAACCATGTATATAATTTATCAAGTATAACATTACATTTGGTCTCCATGTCATAAGAAGACTTATCAGAAATTAAAAGGGAAGTATCGTCGGCATATATAGTAAAATGAATATTATAAGCAATGGTGGTTATTAATATACAACAGGAACAACATAGGACCCAACACGGAACCCTGTGGTACACCCATGGTCATAGTCTGTGTTCTAGAATATATGTGTTGAACACTATAAGAATCTTTATGTTTAAGACTAACATATTGACTTCGGTTATACAAAAATGAACGTATCCAATCTAATGAAATTCCACGTAATCCATAAATTGATAATTTTTTAAATAGTTTGCTTTCTCAAACAAAAAAAATGCATCATATAATGTTTCCAAAGTCACTGATAGGTCCTTCAAATTTTTGTTGGGTGGCCAGAACGTTTTTAGGTGAGTCAGTACTAATTTCTTATGTTTACCTTGTTCTTTGTGTTCTAACAATGGAATGAAGCTAATTCAAAATCATAATGTTATCTTATTCATATTTCTCAAATAATATTAAATAAATTATGAGATATTTAATTAAACTCTGCTAAATTAAAATTAATATGACAAAATACTAAATTTTTTAATAATGTCAGCTTAATCTAGAACAAAAAAAATCTGTAATATATCCAAATAAGTTGCAATATTGTATATAAATGTTGGAAGAGTGTAAAAATAAAGTAAAAAAATGTTTAATGTAAAAAAACAGTTCCCTTAACATATAGACAAACGTAAGAAAAACTTTTTATACTAAAATTATATAAACGTTATGTCAGGTATATTAAAAATATATAAAATATTAATAAAAAATAGTTGTTTGTAATTTTGACAACGGTGTATCTTGAAAAAGAGTCACTTCAATTAAAAATAACAGAAGGAAAATTACTTTTGCATAAAGAATCTGCATATTCACTGTTAAAATTATTTATAGATTGTTAAATAGCTCTGTAACACTTATCGATATTTTTTTATTTAGGAACATTTGCCGTATATCCAGGTGGTGGGTACATAGCTACGCTTGGACGAACACTACAGAACTCATTATTGAACTTTAATTATTTGCGTCGAAACACTTGGATTGACTCCCTGTCCAGATGTATATTTATAGAATTCTTACTATACAATCCATGCAACAATCTATTCAATTCCATCCGAATCACATTTGAAATATATGCGACTGGATATACCGAAAACAATTTAGAAGTAAACAATCAAGTTCCTTAAATTCAATGTTTTAGCATTAGTTTTTTTCTTGCAGATTCAAACCGCAAGGCTACTATTCGTTAAAGAAGAAACCAGCGACATGGTGTGGATCATCCTCTTTTCCTTCATCATCATGTTAATAATCTTGATAATAAAATTAACACACAGGATCATCCGCAAAAGGAAGCTTCTACTAAAAGACATCTGGCATGTAGCGGACATATTCATCATCCTTATCAGCCTTACATGTCTGGGACTGTACATAGCTAGATCAGACGTGGTCAGGATATTCTTATCGGACGTGGAAAGCGCTAAAAACAACGAATTTGTCAACTACTTTCATCTGATGTACACCGAATCTAGTCTGACGATCGTAGCAGCCATCCTAGTTTTCCTCGCCACGCTTCGACTGTGGAAGTTGATGAGGTTCATGACGATTGTCAAGGTGGTCGAGAAGACCCTAATTCTCTCCGCTCCCGCTCTACTGAGTCTATTCCTATGTCAGTTGGTGTTCATGTTTGCTTGCGCGTTTTTTGCTATTACGAAGTATGGAGACTACGACTATGATTTCAGGGGTGTCATTGCCTCTTTGACAACTCTCTTTGTAGGCTCTTTAAACTTTTACAATTTTGATTTCGATGCCATAAGTGGAAGTGTAGGTTATTTATTTTATTCGGGGTTCATGCTTGTAACGTTGGGAATTTACACGATTGATATAGCCATTATCACGATAAGTTATGGGGAAGCTCAGTTTTTCTATTCTAGCGAAGAAGAATATAACATTGTTGATTTACTCAAAGAACGATGTCAGTACTATGGGGAAGTAATAAGGGTTAAGTGGAGAAAGTTGAGGCTTAGGGGAGGTAACGAGAAAGGCAAGTCAGATGAAAAGGTGTACCCGAAAGACGACGAATTCAGGTATGCCAATTGCGTCACTTTGCAGTCAAATAAGATGGACGCAATGACGTGCGTTACTAAATGTCTGTTGAGAAATATGAGAAAAGAAAGAAAAATAGAGATAACTGACAAAGACGCTGATTTAATTAAGCACACTATTGTTAATTTATTTAGAACAGACACCGAAGAAAAGGAAATTTTTTTTACAAGTAACGTACAGGGTGAAAAATTTAAATTTGTTGATGATAAAGTTATGTTGAAAATGCAGGGGGTTGTTGAGGCACTTCTATCACAGGATGACGATAGATCGGAAAGGATGAAGCGTAGACAACTCTATAAGAAAATTATAGAGTCTCACAAACAGAAAATGGATGATATAGCTGATAATTTGAATGTCCTTTCAAATGTTCTTAAGGCTGTCAATATTAGAAAGTAGTTATATTTACAATTTGTGTTAAATAAATGTTGTTCCTTTTACTGTCATTTGATTAACTTATCATAAGATTCATGTCGAAATATACGGGGTGTCCCAAAAGTGACGCCCGTCCTTATGGGTTTTGATTGAGGGGACAAAAACAAATCGAAAATCAAGAGTGGAAAATTATTAAAAAAAACTAAAAATAAACATTTGAGCTGGGTTATTAAAAATTTATGTAGTTCAAAGCTGTATTTGCTGTATGTTTTTAAATGAAAACTTACCATTGCCATTGCTGCATGACGTTGCGTTAGCAGTTAGACTAAATTATTGGTTTCAACATGATGGAGCTCCATCACATGATTTGCGAATATAAAATTATCTGAATCAAAACATCCGAGACAGATGGATTGGAAGAGGTGGACCATGGCCTGCTGGATCACCAGATCTGAACCTCCTAGATTTTTCTTTTGAGGTTATTTAAAAGAAAAGATTTATAGTCCGTGTATAAACTGCTGTCGCGTTAATAGACCAAGAGATGCTACAAAGAGTTCATGCTTCAATGTTGAATCGTGATGAGCTTTGTCTTGAAGTAGAAGGCATCTTATTTGAACACCTTTTGTAAAAACAACTTCTATTATTTAAGCCCATTAAGGTTTTAGTTTATGTTTTATTATAAAAATGTTTTTCTCTATCCTTTTCAGGTTAAAATAATTCCTTACACCCAGGTACAACCGACAATCGAAAACTATACTTATCTACTATTGGTTATAAATTATATGTCTTGGTTCCATAAGCACAGACCTCAGTTTTGAGACAAAAAAATGGATTTTCACTTTTTTAGTTTTTTGAATACTTTTTCGAATAACTCAACAACGGAAAACAATCGGAAAATTTTCCACTCTTGATTTTCAATTTGTTTTTGTCTCAATCAAATCCTAAAAGGACGGGCGTCACTTTTGGGACACCCTGTATATACATATCTTAAAATTTCAGTTACTGTTTGGTTTTCAACCGCAGATTCCCACAACTCATTTAAGAATAGTTACCAATAGTTCCTATTTTTCGTATGCAAAATATATTTAGTCAATACAAATAATGTCAGAAATAAATTTAATATTTATTACTACACTTTACTTTGATTTATAATTACAGAAAAATACTACTTGTGACACATCAAATTTATTTTGCTTTACAATTTTCGCAAAATATAATAATGTAGAATGGTATAATAATAAGACCATTTATGTGTTAAACTTAAGATAATTACAGCATTTTACTTTAGACACAACCTACGAGTGCAAATTCTACTTCTAAAACTATGAGTAATTTATAATTTATTACTGTTACCACTTTAGATTCGTCCTTTATACAATTTTAGCTTTAGTCTTTAGTTCAGATCAATCCCTTTCATTACAGTTATTATAGAATAAGAAGTTTTCAGTATCTGAAAATAATAGTAACTGTTACCAATTAATATTTCGGTTATGATCAGCTTTTATTTTGCATCTGACATACAAATCTTTATTGCTTTTGAAATATTCTTCCAATGTGCATTAATTTTCATACCAATTTAATATGTATAAACGAATCCACTGTATAGCTTGTATTCTATAAAATATACTGGGTGTACAATTTAAAGAATATATTATTTAACTTGCATATGGATTATTAAAATCAATAAGTGTTTAAAAGTTACTTACCAATCATAGGTGTTATCAGTACAAGTTTTAAGTTTATTATTTTTTTTGCTCTTACGGGTTCACTGGGTACACACTCACGAAACAAGAATTATATTTCTATTTACAAAATAAAAATGAGTTTTACCAGCATAATACAACAATGTAAAAAACTTCGCCAATTTCACTTCAAATTTTTAAATTTGACAGTTGAGATACGGTGGGTGCGTTCAGATCATAGATAAAGATACCTAGATAACTATGATTCCTATGTGTTCAGAAGACGTGTAAGTGGAGGTAGATGTCCAAAAGAGATCAGAATGTTCAGATCATTTAGATAAAGATAAACTAAAATTCATATATCATATGGGTTTAGTTTTTTATATGGAGGGTAGAGATAAAGAGGATTCCCTCTTGTGGAGCATTAGCTGTAAATGTGTCCGGTTAAACGCGGCAAAGGTAGTTCGAGAAATAACCAGAATGGCGTTAGTGAGCAACCAGGGTAAGATCTGATTGGCGACAGAAGTAGTTGTATGGATTAGATTGGATGGATTCCTTTCAAATGTGGAGCTTCAACTACAGTAACGCCATCTTAATTGTATTCCATGTTTGACACTTTTTACATATACAAATAAAATCTTCCTTACATCTACTCTCCATAGTTTTTAGCTGGAAGGATTTTGCAGTACCTATACTCGACGGCCGAAAATATAGATAGTGATTCATACATAATATAGAAACACTATTACCGTAAAGTGTATAAAACTTAAAATGATTTTTATAACGGTTCAATATTATTTGCTTATGTTAAATGATGTGCCGCTCTCTTTGCACATCGATAGGATCTATAACAGTCATAGACTGAGTTACACTGAACGCGATTTATTTCCTATCTCTGTCTATCGCACTTATTACAGATAGGGAAATGCTCTTTTTAGTGGGTGTAAACGGACGTACGTAGAATTCGAGTTAGCCCTAGTTAGAAACGTCAAACTATAAGCGCGCGCGAGGGTTTGCATATTCCGTGACTATAGTAAATTTAGGTATAAATTAAAAAAATACAATCGGGACGTTTTAAAACGTAGGAATAATAATTAAAATGGATCAAAGTGCCGGTTGTAGCAAACGGTATGTTGCTCATAAACGCCCTAACCTATGCGATGCGGAATTAATAATGGTAAAAAACGTGTATAAAGGAATTCGGTAGCGAAATTGTAATACAAGTGTAAGTGAAGCTATTGATATGTGTAGTTCGTTGACAAAAGTATCCGTTGCTACTGTTTATCGTGCCATAAAAAATAGTGTAGAAGTGAATCCAAAGAAGAAAAAAGTGGAAACACGAGGGAGGAAGAAAATAGAAGTCGACGTTGACGTGAAATACTCCATAAGTAGGAAAATTCATGAATTTTTCTTTAGAAATGAAATACCAACGATAAAGAAAATTCAAGCTGCAATAGCTGAAGATGAGGATATTCCTAATTTCTCTGATAAGGTTCTTAGAAGAATAATGCGTGACATGAATTTTCGATATTTGAAACGGAATCGGAATAGTATGCTCGTTGAAAAAGACGAAATTGTGGTATGGCGAAGAGAATACTTAGAAAAAATAAGAGAACTTCGTGCATCTGGTAAGAAGATATATTACATGGATGAAACATGGGTAAACGAAGGTCATACTGTATCAAAAGTTTGGAAGGGTGGTAATGTTAAGAGTAAGAGACAAGCATTTTTATATGGATTTTCTACTGGATTAAACAGCGACGTGTTTGAAAAATGGTTTGAATATGTTTTATCATATCTGGAACCAGGAGCAGTTGTTGTGATGGATAACGCACCTTATCATAGTAGAAGAGTTACCGACATCAGCATGGAAAAAAGGAAATATTATGGACTGGTTACAATCGAAAAATATTGAATATACAGAAACCATGCTAAAAGTACAATTATTAAAAATTGTCCAAAGAGAAAAAGGTCAATACATTAAGTATGTAGTGGATGAGATGGCCAAAGATCTAGGAATTCGTGTACTCCGTTTACCGCCATACCACTGTGAATTAAACCCAATGGAGTTGGTTTGGGCACAAATAAAAATGAAATCGCACGAAAAAACACCACCTTTAAAATAAACGACGTGAAATTATTACTACAGGATGCTATTAATCACGTCACTGCTGAAACATGGTGTAAGTGTATTGGACATGCACAGAAAGAGGAACAACGTATGTGGGATCTTGATACAACGGTAGAAGTGTTCATAGAACCAGTCATTATTCATTTGGGTGAAGATGATACTAGTGATAGTGATAGCAACAGTGATATGTGAAATATATAATGTGAATAATGTGATATGTAAGTATTTAAATATATTAATAGTGAAGTGATTATGTGGCAGTGAAGTGAAAGTGTGACAGTGATAATATTCGTGAGATAATTATTATAAAATATGGAAGTACCTACTTAAATAAATATATTAGTAGTAAACATTACAATATTTTGCGGCGGCGTAAGCCGGGAGGTGGTGGGTTATCGATGCCCAAGAGGGCATCGTTTTATAGAAAACACTTGAAATTTGAAAACAAAATGTTACTAAAATATTTTTGAAGTTTTCTCGATAAAACCTCTAAAAATAACAGATGTTATGTTTTATTATATTTTTTCCATATTTTCTACATCTTGTTGCCTTTTACGTATACACGCCTATGGATTTTGGATCCCCGCACGCCTCATCCTCCTTACTAGTCCAAGAGCTAGCGATGAATCACTATCTATAATTTCGGCCGTCGAGTATAATTATTTTTCTCGTCATATTCAAGATTATAATTGAAGGTACAATTAATGTTACCATACCAACTTATTCAATTTTCGATTAACAATTTTTAAAATTAAATTTTCTAGCACAATTGAAGTAAAATAAATGATTTAAGAGTACATATTTTAATCATGTAAGTCAAATTGGGATTATATTTAATGCACATTAGAGCTAAACCAAGGTACATAAAATAAAGCATTTCCTTACCGTAACGATCATTTGAAATGACATAAAGGAGAAATATCCCGCTCGTAGAACAATAGGTTTTTGACATCTTACTAGCACTAAAACCACATTTTTCTGGATTTCGTTTTCGGCATCGTACCATCTGGTGCTATAAATTGCATCCCCTATCGAGGTAGCCTAAAAATTTTGTATTTTATTAATGTCATTCTTTTATTTATTTATTTTTTTGGTTATTTTGCGTCGGTCTATTTCTGCTACGCCTATGCTATTCCTACTTCAAATGAAGTAAATACCAATAAATGTATCTATCTACATAGATGTTGGTATAGAAACAGGTGTGTTTGTTAGAGCTACAAAGTTAATATTTATATTCCATAAAAAAAAAAAACAAAAAACTTACTTCATCTATTAATCGTTGACCTCCAGACGCCACCATAATTAGTGCCATGTACCATCCGACAAATATTCCAATGGTAAGCAAGTGGGGACTCTAAAAAAAATATTTTGTAACTATGTGTTCTTAATACATTACAATTGAAGAGTATGAATTCTACAACTTTCATTTTGTTTCTTTTATTTTGTTTAGTTGCTACTAATTTTGCAGATTCATTTCGAAATACTTTTAATTCATCAATGGAAAATGCGCATCTTTGAAAAAATTTTCAAATTAATTTTGTTTCATTCCGCGAATTCTATAGAACCACGCATTTTTACCAAATGTGCATTTCCATTTAATAGCTCACCAAATCCATTAAATAATGGAAAACAGGCCACTTTATACATTTTGTCGTTTATCTAGATACAACGCTGTACGATTTTTACATCATTTTAATTTTCATAACGCATTGCCTTTTAAATATTTTTTTATACATATATGTATTGGTTCCAATTCGGCGTTAATCTTATATTTATAGAAAAATCTATGAACAAGTCTATATAATATTCAGAAATTCGTTGAGTATAATGTACAGGATGAGTCAAATTATCGTGGGATCCAAATGCACGCGATAATATTTTTAAGAGTAAATATGAATAATTTTCTAATTTTCTAAGAATGTCCCCTCTTTGAGATACAGCAAGTTAAAAAATGTAATCTTTTATATTTTTTATATTTCGCAAATAAAACTTAATACCTATTATTTGTTTACGACAAACACAATTTTCAATTGCCGTGTACTCTGGGACAAAGAAGAATTGCATTAGCAGTAAAACTGCTACAGAAAAATATTAAGAGATTATTTTTCATTTAGAATTATAATTTTCTTGGAAAAATGTGAACAATTTTTATTTTTTACTGCATATTACTTTATTACTGCATATTAAGCTTTATTACTGCATATTAAGCGACTTTTCCAGGTAGGTAGATTAAAAAATATAAAAATTAGATTTTTTTAAACTGTCACGCTGTATCTCGAAGAAAAAGCATCTTTGAAAAAAAATCTTCATTTTCCTTTTGAAAATACTATCTATCACGTATTCCTGGGCGCGACGTTACATTTGACTCATCCTGTAGAAGCCAAAAAATACAGTTGCTTAAACAAATGTTATAAAACTTATTAACAAGAATCAAGATAAATATTTAAAAAACTACCTGCGTTAAATGAAATCCAACACACCCCAGTATGACGCTCGTCAACAATACGTGAATAAAAATACAGGGACTGTAACAATTGTTGAACCTCATCGCTAATCTGAAAATAAAAGTGTGTATTAGTTTAATAAAACAATAACTGTGAAGGAAAATTGCCTTTAGGGTGTTTACAAACTTGAAAGACTTTTTTAAATGGTAAGTTTACAGGGTGTTTCGCATAAGAACTGACACAGAGCAGAGGCATGTAGAGGAACCCAAAATATGGTGATTTAACGCAACTTACCTTGACATGGACAACTAATCAAGATCGTTAAACAGTGGAAACGTAGTTTGGTTTATAGACCAAGAAATAAAGGTGAAAAATTATGGAGAACTCGTAAAAATTACTGGGCGTGATTTTATTGTTGGAAAGTCTTGGGAATGATAATACAAGAGGCGTCTCATCAAATGGGTCATGAAAAAAGTTTAGTGTCATTGTTTTTTATCAACAAATAGGTCAAAAATTCGTCATATTTTCGTTCTACGCGTTATTGTAAAAAAACTATTAATCTTAGCAAAAAAGTTCAACAGATGATTTGATCTAGAGAGACTCATCTTTAAAATGAGACTTTATAAGTTAAAATTGCTTTATTAACAAAAAAGTTATAGCAAAATTAAACGGAAAAAGTGCTTTTTCTTTAATTGTTAATAACTTTTTAAATAATTAATAAAATCTTACCAAACTTTCCCAAAATGTGAGTTTTTATATCCTTAAGAGATGTGCAAAAGATGGGCTCGATCGGTCAAATAGTTTTTGCAAAATTCCATTTATTTATCCCATTTTTGCAAAAAAGGC